TCTGTGGATGGTACTGTACTTGAACTTCAGTATACATTGAAACATTTTGGGGCTGATATTTGACTCGAGCTTGACATTTGACCCACAGGTGCAACATATTATCAAAACATCTTTCTTTCGCCTCAGAAACATTGCCAGACTACATCCTATGTTATCGGTAACTGTAGCTAAAAATCTGATCAACACATTTATCTCCTTCCGAATTCACTACTGTAACAGTCTACTCACTGGGGTTTCTAAATTGACATTGAACAAACTCCAGTATGTCTAAAATTCGGCAGACAGAATCCTAACCAGGTCTAGCACAAGGGATTACATTACTCCTGTCCTGGACAACTGGTTTCCTATCGGGTTATGTATTGACTTCAAAATCCTCATGCTCACTTATAAGGCTCTGCATGGCTTTGCACCTCAATACTTGTCTGAGCTGCTATTGTCCTACTCCACACCTCGCAAATTTCACTCTTCTAATTCTGGTCTTCTATCTGTCCCCCTAGCCTGCCTACAGTCTTTGGGTGACAGGCCCTCTCTCCTGTCATGCCCCAAAGCTCTGGAACTCTATCTGTAAAGATATCAGAGAGTCACCTTCCCTAAACCCCTTCAAATCTAGACTCAAAACCTTCTGCTTTAGAAGCCCTTTACTGAACTGGTTCTGTTATTTACCCCTTTGCTCCTACTGTATTCATCCCCCCATTTACTGTTTCCTCTCATTGTGTATTTGCATTGTACATATTTTGTGTATTTTTTATTGCGGTTGTCATTCTGTTGTTGTTGAGAAGCCAACTGTCTAATTTCGTTAATCATGTGAAATTAACAGTGGGTCCATGAGCACAAGATTTCTTCTGTTTCAGAGAGAATATCTTGGGCAGAATTCTGTGTACTGAATGTATACGCTCTCTCAGCCTAGCTTCTTGGAGAAAAAATTTAAATCCTGACTCAGACTGCTTGCAGTCAAATGGTTGGAAAAGTCAGATTGCCAGTTTAGATAAAAAGAGATTGGAGAGCCTGTGGTTAACCATCGAAAACGAACAGGGTTCCAGTTTATTTGAGGTGACATTGCATGATGGTGATTGGCAGAGATGTCACCAGGTTTGGTTCTGGTACCCACCCTGCAGAGCCCCAATTGGTGGACTGTCCTTTAGGAGATGGATGGTTTGACCTGTGGTTTTTGAGAAGAAACCAGCCTAGAGATTTGCTGGAGCCAATCTGTGCTATCACTAAATGGATAGCATTGATACAGCTTTATGATGTCTTATCAGAGGGGCCTCTTTAGCCACATTCCTCTGCATTAGAGAGAAGCACCAGCTGCCTGGGCAAGGTACACATTATTATTAGAAATCTTTAATAACACTTGAACTTGAACTTTATTGCCATATGTAACCGGTACATGTACTGGTACAATGGAATTCTTACTTACAGAAAATCTCTCGATTGTTAAAACAAGTGTAAAAACACAAAGTGCAGACAGTACATCAAGACAATATACAAACAAACAGCAGACAATGTACAAGTAAACAAGTAAACAGTTTGAATGTAAACAATTCAGACGTGTAAACAATGACTGGAGATGTGCAATAAATAAGAAATCATACTGAGGTAGATGGTGTAGGTATGGTCTGAGGGGCATGGCTAAATGTGTTCGCCAATCGCACTGCTTGTGGATAAAGCTATTGAAGAATCTAGTGGTAAGTGTCCGTATGCTCTTATATCTTTTGCCTTAATTCTAAGTGAAATAACAGGTCTTGTCACTACATGTTACAATTAATGTATTTTGGTTCAAATGCTGCTTTCATTTTAACTTGCTTTACATGACGTAATACTGGCTTAACCCTATATAAATAAAATGCAGATAAAAGGTAACCAAAAATTGTATTCTGAACATTCAAACTTAATTGGAACCCAAGATATAATGCAGTAACCAGCACGATACTAATTAAATAATATGCAAAATGTGTTTTTCCCCATGCCTTTACTGAAGTGATACCGTATCGATACATCATTCAGTATTTTGATAATACATACAGTATAGAGAAATCAGGTAGTTTAGTCTGTAAATAAGATATCCAATTTGTTACTTGAATATGACACTTCTAGGGGGAGCTACAGACTTAAAATAAAAAGGAAACAAGTAAACCAAAGTAAGCTGGCACAGATGAGAATCTTTTAAAGTCAGAAATAGATTATCTACCAGTTTAATTCCTGCTCTGAATATTTAGCAAGCTTTTATTTGGGAGTGGGGTGGGGGTTTGTGATTAATGTAATATTTTAAGATTTTCCCTTGTACTTGTATCTGTGATTGTTTCTATTGAAAACTACAGGATTGGTATTTGATTCTCTGTTTTTTCTGTCTAATTTACTTACCAATACACTTTTTTTTGTATTTCAAGAGATGTATTCACTTATATTAGTTTTTTTTTTTATTAATTCTCTCCTGTGTTGAACTAAAATACAAAATGCGCCTATGAACTCAACCTACTGTATATCGCGTGTGTGATGGTGACGGCTTAGGGTGCGTATGTGTGGCGTTTCAGATACTGTCCTGCTCATCACCATTTGAAAAACAGTCTCTCTGAAAGGAGACTCACTGCGCTGGCAGGGATTGATACTTAATCGTGCAGCAGCCCAATCAGCACGAAGTCCACAGAGGTTGGATTCCTCGAATTCGCCTCTCCGCTACCGAGAGAAGGAAATCACAGGTATCCATCTCAGTAGCAACAAGTGAGAAAAGAACAAGTGGATCTTCTTCGATGGGTGTTTTCATTACGGTAAGCAAAATATAATCCTAAAGGTATTTTCTTGTAGTGTGTTTTCTTATTTGCATTTTAGAAATTATCTCTTTTAATTCTCTAAACGGTGTCAGTAAATACGAGCTTGGCTAACCTTACTTATTTCCTCACGTAAATTCACGCTTAAGGATTAATTAAATAACCGAATAGAACATATTATAACATGGCAATAAACGTCGGCGATGCAGTTTGTAATTCTGTAAATATTTGACTTAATGTAAAAAGTTGACAAAATCACAAAGACCCAGTCAGTCTAAGTACAGCACCTAAGAAATTACAATTTAAGATTCGGTGATAGGATGACATCGGGGTAAGCAAAACGATTGTTTTTAAATGTATTTATTTTGTCAGAAATATATTATTTTAAGTTCATTTGCATCCCTCTTGGTCACAACTGTGGTCGATTGCGAGACCATATTGCTAGAGTGTAATATAGATTCCAGTGTTTTGGAACTTTAATTTAAGCGAAGTCATATAATAATAAACATAAACAAGTTTATAATCGTTAATAACAAAATAACCTGTTTCTTATTTTCAAACGTATGTTAAGCCCCATCAAGTCTGTTTTTATATATATATAAGAGACATGGAACTCCTGTCCTCAAGGGCGGAGTACTGCGGATTTGACAAGTACGATACATTCATTTAGCAGCTAATACGGGCTATAAAAAGTTAAAACTCTTGAGTTCTATTAAACAATTATTATAAGAGACGAAATGGAAAAAAAAAAAACTGTGGGACGGGGGTTGTTCATCCCTGAGTTTAATTTAGGGGAAACAAAAGGAGTAGCCTAAACCCAACTTGAGTTACAGTAGCAAGAACCGAAACAGTTCTGCGTGTGTAATTTTGGTTGTTTAAATTACACAACTGTACTTGCATTGCTTGGGAAACGTTTGAGGTCTGTTTTTCCCCTCTTAGTGTGTTTGTTTTTCAACTTTAAGCTTCTTAATTTAGGGAATAAATATACATTATTAAGCATAATTTTAAAATTCTTCTGCTAAAATCTTCTCAAATACAGTTCCTTTTGCATATTTGATTTGTTCTTCGTTAAATCCATTGTTTTATCACCAGCAGATGAATCGTGATATTAGCTCTAGAATATACTATTATGAAAGCCTAGCATACTGTATGATTTTGCTATGATTTCATTTGCTTTAAAAATGCTTATTTAAAAAAAATAATAATATGCTTGTACCTGGTGCGATGTGTACAGTATTACGGTAAAATACGTATTCAATGAAACGTAAAAAATAAGAGGATTATATTTCCTGTAAATTAATTTTATTTACACAAAGTTAATATTTTTTTAAAATGTGGTTTATCGCATTGGGTAAAACTAGTAATTGTCTAAGAATTCTAGATCGAATATAAAAGATCATGTGTGGTACCGTTTCCTGCACTGAGATGACAAATTGTTGCAAGGCTGGGAGCAGTGTAAATTGGGACGGTTCACCAAAGAACAGCACTATCTGTAGGATACTCAGCCCCCCCCCCACACCACACTTCTCTTCTTTTTCATCACCACAGATGTCCATGGAATCCTCTAAAAGCTTTTAGCACTCAGCATTTTATTGTTTGATACTTTTGATATCCATCCATCCAACATATGCACCTGTTTTCTGTGAATGCCAGACACTGAACACATTCCGTGGTGTTATGACAGCAAACCAGAAATTTTACATTTCTGGAGAGACATTTATTATGCCTAAAATAAATCTGCTACATAATTAAAACTGGTGGCTGTAGTAGATACAGTTAATCATTTTAAAGCTATTCTGAAATAAAATTAAGCTACATACAACTAGGTAATGTTAGGATAGTAGTGGGATCATGGCAGTCCACAGGAGGGAGCTACAATCCAAATATAATGTATATACATTTTTTATATACAGATTCAATTTTTATATACATTAATTTGGATTGTGCTAAAATCTGGGCTTCTGAAAATAACACCACAATACTATGAAAAAGTTCATTGCATATAGTAAGGTACACCTGCTCCTTTACAGTTTTGGTCCCTTTCCTTTCATGATCACCAACCATGATGGAAAGTTTAACTTCTATTGTTAATGTTTAAAACACATACCTTTTTGTGAGACAATGTTCAATTGCGTTTCACTGTCACATTTTCTTTACGCTCTTTATATATGATATACTGTATTTTTATTTTTCCTGTATTTATACTGTACATTTTTATTTTTTCTGCTAAAATAGAATATGCATTTCCAAATTGAACATTCAACAAGATTTCCATTCACTTTGTGATTAAATGAAATTTTTGAAAGCCTTTGTTAAGATGTTGAGCTGTATGTCATAAATCGCAGCCAATCTGCACCTTCACCTGACACTTAAAGTGTTTAGAAAACATCTCTCTTAATAAAATGATACTCATGCAACTCAACAAAATAAAAATCATACCATAATTTTTAAAGATTTTACTGAAATCGTTTTTACTGTGGACTGTACTCTTCCACGCCAATTGAAATCTCAAAATAAGCATAACACAATTCACAATTTAAATACGAGCCTCGTTGATTTATCAAATTCTAGACCAGTTTATTTTGTTTTCACTTTTTTGCAAGAAAGAACCTTAAAGAACTGAGTTGTCTACTTACTTTAAAGCATCTCCATTTGGCAGTGTTGAATCTAAGCTCATTTAAGGATTAGAATGCAAATGGAAAAGCATAATGTTAAAGAGGTCAGTAATTTTTCACTGCCATAGCTGAAGTGATGTTCTCTTTGTTTTATGCCTGCAGGTGTGCCCATTAAAATATATCTGAGGAAAAACAGGCTGAGATGGATACTGAAAAGGTTGTTGAGCAAATGGCTTAATTCACAGAAAAGAAACAAAACAATTTTTGTATTATTCTGGTGTGCCTACATTGCTGTCTTACATATACCTTCCATTTTAAATTCAGTTTAATTCAGAATGACTTCTCATTGACAAACGTTGAAAATGACAGCAGTAAAACCCTAGTGGAAGCACAGGAGTTGGACTGGACATGGGTGTATCTGTTATGCACAGGAATATTTTTGGGGCAGCTTCCACAATGCTCCTTAGGGGCCTGTACATAGTGCTCATGCACATTGCCCTTACATTCGCTTGCCCCAGAGGTTGCCTCTGCACTGAAAAAAATGGCGTGATGGCTGTGCACTGCACCTCACGCAACCTGGACAAAATCCCGTCCGATTTGCCGGAAGACACCGTGTCTTTGCTGCTGGACTCCAACCGCATCACTAGAATCCCTAACCAAGCCTTCAAGGACCTCTACCGCCTGCAGGAGCTAGACCTGTCGAAGAACGCCATTGAGGTAATTGAGGCAGGGGCTTTCCACGGGGTGGCAGAGGGCCTTCGGTTGCTGGACCTCTCCAGCAACCACATCCGCAGTGTCCCCAAGGAGGCCTTCTCCAAGCTCAAGGCCAAAATCCGCCTCTCCAACAATCCCTGGCACTGTGAGTGCACACTGCAGGAGGTGCTTAGGGAGCTCAAATTGGACCCTGAGACGGTCAATGAGATCAGCTGTCACACCTCCGTGCAGGAGGAGCACACTGGAAAGCCCGTGATCCAGGTACTTGACTCTGGCATCAACTTCTGCAACTTTCACCACAAGACTACTGATGTGGCTATGTTCATCACTATGTTTGGCTGGTTTGCCATGGTCATCAGCTATGTGGTTTACTATGTGAGGCACAACCAGGAAGATGCTCGGCGGCACCTGGAATACTTGAAGTCTCTCCCCAGCACACAGATAACCAAGGATTTTGATACTATTAGCACAGTACTTTAATATACCGATCACTGTAACTGAAACCAAAGGGTTTGAATGTGTGACAGATCAGGTATCATCAGTATAGCACAGTCACAGGTCTTAGTTTGTTTAAACTCATTATTGTTTGGAATAAAATCTAGTTGTAAAGTGATGGCCTATGTAGCCTGTCTGTCTTAAGGCACACACAGGCAAAAACATACATACATTCACACCAGGGCAAATTGTCCCAGAAGCCTATTAACTGACCACCATGTCATTGGACTGGGGGAGAAAATTGGAGATCCCAGAGGAAACTCACATACTGTACAAAGTCCACGCAAATAGCAGTGAAGTTCTGGAATTGAAACCAAAAACTGTGCCACCTCCTAGGAAGTCAAACTGTTTACTTTTTGTACCTTGTGTAAAATTCTACAAAAACCTTACAAAATTAAGCTTAAGATGTTAAACATTATTAAAGTTTAGGACTCATGTTTTCATAATTTCTGTATTGACATCTTTTTTTGAACAAGTAGTGTAGCCTCCAAAAAATGTAGTGTTCTAAATCATTACTTGTTTAATTTGTTCACATAATATAACTTGAACAATTAACTGCAATGGTTTTAATGTTACTGTACCTTGTTGTTTGATTTGTTTGATGAGGAGATATGACCTGTTGTCTATTTAACAACACTTCAGCATTTGAAGTTTAAATGAGAAGAACCCTCCCCATGCATCTGTGTACCCTAGACTCTGCTAAATTTCAGTTTTATAGGTTTAGGTTGATTTTTTAGAACTATTTGCTTTTCTTAGTGAGGACAAAATTGTGCAATAAATATAGTTTCCTGTCTAAATACAGTTTACAATTTTTAAACATTTTCAAATAGAAATCATAATATTTTTTAAATCTTTCTTTCAATGTATATTAGATTGTCTTTTCCTCATTGATTGATGTGTCCCACGTCTCCCTCCATATAAGGCTATATAAGCTACAGTATATAAGGCTATAATACAAATGTTGATTATATTGTCTGAGTTTGAATTTTAACCCAAGTGCCTATGTTTTTGGTACCATAACTTTACATATCAGTATTTATTTTCAGTATTCAAATTAATCAGGTAGTCCTATATCTTTTCTTGTTCCTTTGTGACTAATATCAAAACCTTGATGTCAACACTATTGATGTTGAATTGTGTGGTGTAAGGTGTGTCATGAGAAATTTAAGCTATATCTGTGGCCTGTTTTCCTGTTTTTAAAATTTCTGCCATTTTTTCTCTTTTCCTTAGATCAAAATATTTATTGTGGTCTTATCTTTATTTTTGCTTCTTTCTAGTTGATGAAATCTTAACATACATGCAGTTTAACGGTTGTTTGTTTTGAGTGAAATGCTTTATGTTCATTCTAGCATTATCCTTTATTAATTACTTTATTGCTATTTTATTTTTGAAAATAATAACTTTACAAAATCTTGAAGTAATAAAGAAGCAGAAGATAATGGTGAGTGCAGAAGATTTATTTTTATGGAGATGTAAATAGAAGCATAAAGACGATTCAAACATTCTGAACAGGAAGACCTCTCTTTTTATTTTCCCCGTAAGTATTTAATTTTGTAGATGAATCCAATGTACCATAAAACCTTAAGAATTTATTAATTTCAGGTTAAAATTCCCAGGATAATTGTCAAGAGGCTTGTTTTAAACTGCATCAGTTGCACCAAATCATATTTGAAAATGTGGCATAAGTGAATTTTTATAGTGATCATTAATAGAAATGTATCACTTGTAATTACAATTAATACATGAGGTTCATTAGAAAAAAGAATTCTAGAAGAAGTGCACTAACATTTTATTATTCAAAAATGAAATACAGCCACTCAGAATGCTTGAGGTGTTTATGTAAGAAACATGTTGTGGTACTTTGAAAGATACCTCCCAACGCCTTTTTATTTTTTCAAATAATCTGATGTACAGTAGGACTGCACTACTCTGTAAAACTGCTAGGTGGCATAGTGAATCCTTAACATGCCACGTGTCTAACATTTGAATTGTGGTCTGCCATGCGAAGTGCCTCGGCTCGATTCCTAGTCACTGCCAAACTCCTTGAGTATAATCTTACCTCAGTAATAAATTTAATTTGTATACCATATTGACATTAATAACATTATATAACACAGTATGTTAAACATTAAATTAATATTACAAATAAAAGTAGGGCTGTTTTACAAAGCAAAATTACTGTAGGACATATAAAAACAGTTTACTATTATAGTTCAGTTGTGAACGTGATGTGTTTTTTTCACCTTTACATAGGCATTCAAATAATCTGTATTTTGTCTAAATCGTAATTTAAGTAACAAGTAAATAGGAAATAGATCATTTAATTTTAGATTTTGATTATAAACAATGTAGTTTAAACATACTGTACTATAATGGCTTTAAAACCAAACAATATTCAATTTTTACTCTAGATACTTTATTAATCCCATGAGGGAAGTTGCAGTGCAACAGCAGCCAGGCACAATCAACACAGCACAAAACTACATAATAATACAG